TGGGAGCAGATGCGGCGGAGGCGAAGGAATTGGGAATAGGGGATAGCATTTTTGCAGGAAGGTGGGTGGGAGGAGGAGTATTCTAGGTAGCTGTGGGAGTCGGTGGGCTTGAAATGAATATCGGTTTCTAGGTGGTTGCCCGATATGGAAACAGAGAGGTCCAGGAAGGTGAGAGAGGTATTAGAGATGGTCCAGGTGAACTTAAGGTTGGGGTGGAAGGTGTTGGTGAAGTGGATGAACTGTTCGAGCTCCTCGTGGGAGCACGAGGCGGCGCCGATACAGTCATCAATGTAACGGAGGAAGAGGTGGGGTTTAGGGCCGGTGTAGGTATGAAAGAGGGATTGTTCCATGTAACCTACAAAGAGGCAGGCATAGCTTGGGCCCATGCGGGTACCCATGGCCACCCCGTTTGTCTGTAGGAAATGGGAGGAATTGAAAGAGAAGTTGTTGAGTGTGAGGACGAGTTCAGCTAAGCGGATGAGGGTATCAGTGGAGGGGGACTGGTCGGGCCTGCGGGACAGGAAGAAGCGGAGGGCCTTAAGGCCATCTGTATGAGGAATGCAGGTGTATAGGGACTGGACGTCCATGGTAAAGATGAGGTGTTGGGGACCGGGGAATTGGAAGTTCTGGAGGAGGTGGAGGGCGTGGGTGGTGTCACGGACATAGGTAGGGAGTTCCTGGACCAAGGGGGAGAAAATGGAGTCTAGATAGTTGGAGATCAGTTCGGTGGGGCAGGAGCAGGTGGAGACAATGGGTCGACCAGGGCATTCAGGTTTGTGGATTTTGGGAAGGAGATAGAAGCGGGCACCGCATCCCAAAACCAGTCCAGCTCGTCCCTGCCTCCCTAACCTGTTCTTCCTCCCACCTATCTCCTCCTCCCACCTCAAGCCGCACCTCCATCTCCTACCGACCAACCTCATCCCGCCCCCTTGACCTGTCCGTCCTCCCTGGACTGACCTATCCCCTTCCTAACTCCCTACCTACACTCACCTTCACTGGCTCCATCCCCGCCTCTTCGACCTGTTTGTTTCCTCTCCACCTATCCTCTCCTCTATCCCTCTTCTATCCGCCTCCCACTCTCTCCCTATTTATTTCAAAACCCCCTTCCCCTCCCCCTTTTCTGATGAAGGGTCGAGGCCCGAAACGTCAGCCTCTCTGCTCCTATGATGCTGCTTGACCTGCTGTGTTCATCCAGCCCTGCACCTTGCTGTCTCGGATTCTCCAGCATCTGCAGTTCCTACTATCTCTGAATTAACTGTCAAGCTTTGTTTAAATTTAAACCAGGCATGTTGAATCTGGTCAAAGTATTTACTGGACGAATGAATTTGGAATCTCTGAATTACTCGTCCAGGAACAATACCCCAATGTTACTGTACTCACATGCTGAAGTTTCATTTGACATTTCCTAGCCAACACAAGTATATGGCTTATTGAGACAACTGCATTACAACTGTCCAAAGCAGGGCATGGCCACAGATGTGGTGAACTGTTAAAGATTTCCTTTTCTGTTTCCCAGTGAGTGATCCCTCACTGAGTAATCTCACTCAGCCACAAGGGGAGCGATAGCAAGGAGCCTCAGATGATATCAAAAATGTGCTTCTCCAACCTCGCCCCTTCCTGTCACGGCCCAATCTCAGGTCTACACTTCATACTGTCCCACCAAAGTTACCATCCAGACTCTTGAGAAGTGCCTATCCCCGTCAGCACTGATATTCACTGCATTCAGTAGAGCAGAGGAAGGTTATGTGACTATAACTCAGTAATGAAGAAAAGCACCTATTACAGAATTACAAATGACACAAAAGCAGAAAGTGCTGGAGGAACTAGGGTTAATGTTTTGAGTGCAGAACTGGAAGTTGCTAAGAAATGGTGGTGATTACTGATGACAGGGAGCTGGGGACGTAGTGTTGGAGTGGAGTAAGGAGTGAGGCAGATCGATGGAGACAGTATCCACAGAAAGAGAACATCCATCAGTATAAATATCATGCTATCCTAACGGCTTTCAGTTCCGATGAAGAATCATACAGTCATAGAGTCATACAGCACAGAAACAGACCCTTTGGCCCAACCAGTCCATGCTGAACATAATCTCAAACTAAACTAGTCCCACCTGCCTGCTCCAGGCCCATATCCCTCCAAACCTTTCCTATTCATGAACTTATCCAAATGTCTTTTAAACATTGTAATTGTGCTCACATCCACTACTTCCTCAGGAAGTTCAATCCACACGCAAACCAACCTCTAAAAAACTTGCCCTGCATGTCTTTTTTTATCTTTTTAAAATCTCTCTCTTCTCACCTTAAAAATGTGTCCTCTAGTTTTGAAATTCCCCCTCCTAGTGAAAATACATCTACTGTTAACCCTATCTATACCCATGATGATTTTATAAACCCTATAAGGTCACCTCTCAACCTCCAATGCCCCAGTGATCAACATTCCAGCCTTTCTTTGCAACTCAAACCTTCCAAATCCGGCAACATCCCCTAATCAATCTCTTCTGAACCCTCTTCAGCCTAATAATATCCTTCCCATAATGGGTGACCAGAACTGGACACAGTCCTCCAGAAGAAGCCTCAGCATCGTCCTGTACAACCTCAACATGATGTCCCAACTCCCAAGCTGAAAGGTCTGAGCAATGAAGGCAAGTGTGCTAAATGCCTTTTTAACCAACCTGTCTAGATGTGATGCAAACTTCAAAGAATTATGAACTTGAGAAGTTAATTTTGTGTTTTCTCTTCACAGATGTTACCAGACATGCTGAGTTTCTCCAGCAATGTCTGTTTATGTTTGTTTCAGATCTCCAGCGTTCCCAGTTATTTGGTTATTTTACAAACAGTACCATCCGTGTGCCACAATGTGAGGTCTTTTCCAATTGTTAACTATCTTTACATGAAGCACTAAATTATAATTGTCGCAAATTCCTTAAATAAAAGAAAATAACAATCAAATGACTTTATCTAACTGGTTTTGAATTAAGTTTACAAATGTACAAGATTAGCAAACATCTATTGAAAAGGAGCAAAGGGAACACACTGGTCCAAAGGAGAATTTGCTTTACTTTATCAAATAATAAGGAGCAGTATTTGTATTTATGCTTGGAACTGAAGGATAGGAGGGGCTCGGAAATTACTTTGGGAGAGCAGGGAGTGTAAAAGCACTGCTGACCGCTGAACAGTGTGAGATTTAAATGTTACTCATCTGTGTGAATTAACACGCTGTGCAGATATATGTGAATCACATGCCAGATGCGTGAGAGCTCAGGAGACTCGGCACGAATGCAGTTAAGATCTGTTTAAGTGATGTCTGAGCAACTTAAGTACCATCAATTCCTGCTAAACGATTAACCAGTTTTTCAAAATATTTACCTTCCTTTTACGCCCTACTGGCCTGAAAGCAGTGACTAATGCAACATTCCGTTGGAGCTGACATCCGACAGTGGTCTTCCTAAGGGATCACTCTACATAAATAACTTACATTTGTATAGCATCTTTAACCCAGTAAAACATCCCAATTTGCTTAACAATAGCAATATCGAACAAACTTTGGCACATAGCCACTTACTAGAACATGCAATTGAAAGCTTGAGAAAGAGGCAGCAGGAGAGAAAGGTGGGCAGGTTTCAGAAGGGAATTCCAGACCTTAGGATCAAGCAGCTGAAGACAGAGCCATCAGGGATGGAGTGATGGAAAATGTGCAAGGGTTTGGAATTCTTCAGTGTCGGTCCAGACCGTGAGTGTTGACAGGGTTTTCAAAGTGAAGAGGTCGAGTTCCTCTGTCTGCAGTTCTCTTTCTATCTGATTTCCGTCATCATCCTCATCTACATCCATGTCATCCTCTGCCACGTGTGTGACTCTCCATCTGTTTCTCTGATCCTCCTTTGTATGTTCCACACAGAAAAATCTCCTCACTGTCTCTTGTCCCTTCTCCACATAATCAGATAGAGCATTCATAATAATTTCCTCAAACACCTTCCCTGTTAGTGATGCCATGCTTTCTAAGGGAACCATTTCAGAGCGCTGTCTAACAGGTTAGTACAGATACAAATGAGAGACTTGTACAGCACATGCCTGTCTCTGTGAATCTTGGGTGGATCTCATCTAGTGGTAGGGTCATTATCACTGTGCCACTAAAGCCTACAGTTCCTACTATCTCCACACACAACCCCCATTGATTTTATTTATTTAATTGTCTTTTACATTTCTTTTCTGTGCAGAGATGCTTTTATGCACCACTGATATCTTTTTCTCCACCATCGAATCACCTGTGTTTCTGAACTAATTACCAATTTACATCAGGGGCAGTACAATGACATCAAAGGTGAGGGAGACGTAGACAGGGAGGGAGGGGACCAAATCAGAATGGAGTTGGAGGGGGAAATGAGGCATTCCACACCCCACAGTGCCCACCTCTATCTAGATGCACTTCAGAAATTCATCCAAATTCTTTAGACAGCACCTTCCAAACCCAGGACCACCTCCATCTAGAAGGACAAGGGCAGCAGATGCATGAGATACCTACCACCTGCAAGTTCCCCTCTGAGCCACTCACTTTCCTGACTTGGAAATATAAAGGATCACTGGATCAAAATCCTGGAAATCCCTCCCTAACAGATTTGTGAGTCTTCCTACTGCACATGGACTGTAAGCAGCTCATCACCACCTTCTCGCAGGCAGCTAGAGATGGGCATTAAATGCTGGCTTAGCCAGTGACACCCATGTCCCACAGGTGACTGAAAGAAAATGCCATTGGTGTACACCGTGTGCTCACTTTCCAAAGACATCCACGTACAAACATAACGCTGTGACTTTATTTTGTATATGCAGAATCACACACAACTGAATATTCTTTTCCCCAGCACCAAATCACCTGTGTTTCCAATTGAATAATTTCCATGCAAAGCCCATTAAGGGCAATGCGAACCATCAAAGGTGTGGGAAAGAGGGGACTGGCAGTAAGAGTTTTAAGGTTCCTAATTCTATCAAAAACACATGTTCTCAATGTTAATTTTCATAATTTTATTTGTAACAGAATCATTGAATCCTGTCAGTCAGCAACATCTTTATGAGTGAAAACCATTGCAAAATGCTCAGAAAATATTTCCTGGCTTCATGAATCCTTTGTAACTTGTCCTCGAGTGGCCCAACAAAGTCTTTAATATTTCTCCATCTCTTCACATGGTGAGTAAAACTTTTTCCATCACTATCTTGAGCTTGCAGCCTATGAGTGGGTAGAAGTGGAGATGGTCAATGATTTTGAAAGGGTATACAATGGTTATAGACCCATACAGCATGGGAACAGACTCTTCGGTCCAACTCATCCATGCCAACCAGGTTTCCAAACTAAACTAGTCTCATTTGCCTGCATTTGGCCCGTATCCCTCTAAACCTTTCCTATTCATGTACCCGTCCAAATCTTTTTTAAATGTTGTAACTGTACCTACATCTACCACTTCCTCTGGCAGTTCATTTTCCATGTACAAACCATTGTCTGTGTGGAAAAGTTGTCCCTTTTGTCCTTTTAAAATCTTTCTCCTTTCACGTTAAAAATATGCCCCCTAGTTTTGAACTCCCACACCCTAGGGAAAGACCTTTGCTTTTTACTTTATTCATGCCCCTCGAGATTTTATAAACCTCTATAAGGTCACCCCTCAACCTCCTATGCTTCAGGGGAAATAGCCCCAGCTTATTCAGCCCCTCCTTATTACTCAAACTTGCACGATCATGGGGATAGAGTATGGGAATGGGAATGAATGGTTTGTTCTGCAGGGAGCTGGCATGGACCCAGTGGGTTGAATGGCCTCCCTCTGTATCTTTAGGATCACATTTGTCTACAACGGCCTTTCTCATTATCGTTCCAACTAATTTAATTGTGGTTTTAGTTTCCTTTAGCTGTTCCTAGAGTCTGTGTTTGTTCAGTTGCGTATGAGGTGACATTTGTTTGTCGTAATATTTTTGTTTACAGTACATCATCGTTGTCTTATCCATGGCTAATCAATGACATTGGTTTTTCCTTAACCAGCCAGAGCTCTGCTTTCGACTTTGAGCGGATTGATATCATGTTTATTGTTGTTCTCCGGCCCTTTGCATCCAGCTTTCTCACTGCATTGGCATCTGCCAATAGTTAAGGAGGCACGTTTTGCCAAGTTAACTGACTTTAAGGAGCTTTTGACCAATCCTGGTTTGAAAACCAGCAGCAGCCAATTGGTCCATGGGGTTTTTAATCTCATTTTCCTTTCTTGTAGCTTGCCTTACTACCTCAAAAGGCAGGTAGGAGTCAGAGTTGGTGACCTGGAATCTTCTGGATCTCTTGCTGAAGATTACCAGATTTTCTTTCTTTATTCATTCACAGGATGAGGGCATCGCTGGCTAGGCAGCATTTATTATCCATCCCTAATTGCCCAGAGGGCAGTTCAGAGTCAACCACATTGCTGTGGGTCTGGAGTCACTTGTAGGCCAGTACAGGTAAGGATGGCAGTTTCTTTCCCAAAGGACATTAGTGAACCAGATGGGTTTTTCCTCAACAATTGACAATGGATTCACGGTCATCATTAGATTCTTAATTCCAGGTATTTATTGAATTCAAATTCCACCATCTGCCGTGGCACGATTTGAACCCCGGTCCCCAGAACATTATCAGGGTCTCTGGTTTAACAGTCCAGCGATAATACCACTAGGCCATCGCCTCCCCTCGGTTTTCTGTGCACCCTAAATTCTGCCCATAAGACTTCTCTCATTGGTTAAGATTGGAGCTTACGTCTGCATTTATAGGATTTTCCTGCATTCTTTTTAAATTGTTTCCTGTATTCCTAATTCCGTTTGGTTTTGTTTCCTTTATATCTGCCGCTTCATTTTCTGGTTTTGTAATCTAGTGTGTAACAAAGATGGCGCTGGTTACATTGGTAGATGTAAGATGGTGCCCAAGAGGCGCAGCTTTCATTCCAGTGGGTGGTACTGGTCACCAGGCCCGCAGCACATGATGGAGCACTCAACAAAAAGGGCTGTAAAGTTGGAGGCTTTCTTTATTTCTTCGTTTTCCTGCCTTTGCATACTGTGTTTTGGTTTATTTTTCTGTGTTTCGGAATGGCGCCGGAGACTGACGATGCTATACAAGGCTTTTCACTGTATTTTGTAACAAGATACACGTGACAATAAATCAAATCCAATCAGTTTTGCGGAAACAGACCTCTGATCCGAACCAATGCTCCACACAAGCCTCCCTACTCATTCCCTCTGCATAACACTCTACTCAATTTTCCCTAATGTGTTTATCAACCTTCCCCTGAAACGCATCAAAGCTAAATAAATAAATGCATAAATGTGAGGTGCTGCATTTTGGAAAGGCAAATGAAGGCAGGACTTATACACTTAATAGTAAGGTCCGGGAGGGTGTTGTCGAACAAAGAAACCCAGGGGTGCAGTTTCATAACAGTGTCTTTTAAATTAAATTACTTAAAAATTGATGCACGGAGGATTATTAAAATGGTTGGTTATTGAAACACTGGTAGGTTTAGTTGTGAATTTCACCTACTCAATCTGTATTAGATTTTATTATCAATCATTTTACATTGATATCTATAGTTGCTGAACAGAGTTTTATAATATTCTGGAGCTGGTTTCATAGATCATAGAATCCCTACAGTGTGGGAACAGGCCCTTTGGCCCAACAAGTCCACACTGACCCTCAGAGCATCCCACCCAGATCCATCCCCCTATAACCCATCTAATCTACACATCCCTGAACACTGTGGGTAATTTAGCCTGGCCAATCCACCTAGCCTGCACATGTTTGGACTGTGGGAGGAAACCAAAGCACCCAGAGGAAACCCACGCAGACATGGGGAGAATGTGCAAACTCCACACAGACAGTCACCCGAGGGTGGAATCGAACCCAGGTCCCTGGTGCTGTGAGGCAGCAGTGCTAACCACTGAGCCACCATGCTGCCCTAAGCCTACTGCACCTGGTATTGCCAGGCGGTCTCCCATCCACTTAGCCTGGGACTACATGTGACCCCAGACCCACAGCAATGTGACTTACTCCACATCGTCACCTCAGGGATGGGCAATAAATGCTGGCCCAGTAGGTGAAACTCACATCCTATGTTTGTTGGCTGGTTGCAGAAAGAGTAGAATAAAAGAGTAAATGAAGGGGATACATGGGATTAGGCCAGTTGTTTGTGTGAGGGATAAACATAAACATGGTCTGCTGGGTTTCTCAGGCTGTTACTGTGTCAAAAACACACAGAAAGTGCTGCAGAAACTCAGCAGGTCTGGCAGCACTTGTGGAGAGAGGAACAGAGTTGACATTTCGAGTCCAATATGACTCTTCTTCTGAAGGAGATTTGATCAGTTAAAAGGATAACGAGAAAGAGGATTGGAAGTGACGGTACCGTAGAGTCATTACAACACAGTGGGAGGCCATTCAGCCCATCAGGGCCATGTCAGCTCTGCAAAATGAACCAATCAGTCCCATTTCAGAGCCATAACCAGACTTGAATTGTTCAGTCTGGTTCTCTATCCCCAGATGCTGCCAGAGCTGCTGTGTTTCTACAGCAATTTCTGTATTTGTTTCAGATTTAGGATCATAGAAATGTAGGAGCAGGAGTAGGCCAATCAGCCCCTTGAGCCTGTTCCATCACCATTCAATGAGATCATGGCTGACCTGTGGCCTAACTTCATACACCTGCCTTTGGCCTGTATCTCTGAATAGTTTTGCTTAATGTAAACATAACTATATCAGATTTAAAATTAACATTGGTTAAAGTTTACATAAAAATTGGTGAGGCCACTTTTGAAAAACTGTAATTCTGGTCTCCTTGCTGTAGGTGAGATGTTGTGAAACTTGAAAGGGTTCAGAAAAGATTTACAAAGATGTTGCTGGAGTTGCAGGGTTTGAGCTGTAGGGAGAGGCTGAATAGGCCTGGAGAGTCTTTCCTGGAGAGTCAGAGGCTGATGGGTGACCTTATAGAGGTTTATAAATCATGAGGGGCATGGATAGAGTGAATAGACAAGGTCTTTTCCCCAGGATAGGGGAGTACAAAACTAGAGGGCATAGATTAAGGTGAGAGGGGAAAGATTTAAAAGGGGCTAAGGGGCAATTTTTTCACACAGAGGGTGGTGCATGTATGGAATGAGCTGCCAGAGGAAGTGGTGGAGGCTGGTACAATTACAACATGTAAAAGGCATCTGGATGGGTACATGAATAGGAAGGGTTTAGAGGGATATGGGCCAAATGCCGGCAAATGAGACTAGATTAATTTAGGATATATGGTCAGCATGGACAAGTTGGACCGAAGGGTCTGTTTCTGTGCTGTACATTTCTATTTAACTCTAACAACTGATTATCAATTTCCAGCATCTGCAGTATTTTGCCGTCATTTGAATGTTGCCATCTTCTGATTTCTCTGCGATCCCATTGCAACGCCTCATCTGATATGTCCATAAATTGTTCACTCGTTCAGAAAAATGCTGTCGTTGAATGGGACTGTCGGAGCTGGCAGTAGCTATGCCAGGAATGCCGACGAGGAGGATGGGCAGCGGGCCACCAGCTGGTATCACTCCAGGAACTAGTTGTTGTGCAGAAGGGAGACAGGGGGAGAGCCGATTCCCTCTGAAAGCTGACTCGCAGTGCCCTGACTCAATGTGCTTCCAAGCAATTGGCACCGTGAAAAAGCACTGATGGAGGCACATTGCAGACATCTGGAGAGGCATGGTTTAGTCAGCCGCTGTTTCCATAGAAACTGTGCACCACAGCGAGAGAACAGCTGGGAGTGCAGTGGGAAGCCACGTTAGTGTAGAGCTGCAGGAAATTTTCTTGGCACTTGGAGCTTTTCCCCTGAGCAACTGAACCCCAGCAGCGGATGCACTGTGACCGTAACCCGTTCTTTCAATTTAGAAGACAATTGCTATTGAGAATTTTTTTTTAAAAAAAGGAGCTGTAAATCCCTCTTTAATCCTTCAATTGCTTTTCAAGGCTGTGCTTGTTCGGATAGCTCTCTGTTTGAGGCAAGTTCACCACATTATGGGGGAGATCTGGGGGCAACTGTCAGAATTCCTGAATTTACCAGACCCTGGAGAGTTCATGTCTGATGATGGTGAAACTGTGATGCCTGGGGTCCCCTTAATATCTTGGACTCACTTCCAGGGAGTTGTGGTCAATTAATTCACACTGAAACACATAACTGTTTCTGGTGGAGGAGGTGTGACCCCATTCTACGCCCCCTCACCCCCAAACCTTCCCTTACACAAAGGCTGTCATTTCACAGAATCGTACAGAACAGAAGAGGCCCTTCAGCCCATCGAGTCTGCACTGACCAAACTTATTGAAATCTACACTAACGAAAACAGGAAGTGCTGGGAAATTCTCAGCAGGTCTGGCAGCATCTGTGGTCAGAAAACAGGGTCACTGGACCCAAAATGTTAACTCTCTTTACCTCTCCACAGGTGATGTCAGACTTGTGGAATTTTTCCACCTTTTCTGTGTTTGTTTCTGACTTCCAGCATCTGCAGTTCTTTGGTTGTTTTTGTTCAGCGTCTAATTCCACACTAGTCCCACCGTCCCTCACTACACCCATAGCCTTGACATTTCAAGGGCACATCCAAATGCTTTTTAATATTGCAAGATTTCCTGCCTTAACTATCTGCCCCAGGGCAGTGCATTCCGGACACCCCTGCCACCCTCTAGGTGAAACAGAATTTCTTCAAATCCTCTCTAAACCTCCTGTCTTTCACCGTAAATGCTGCCCCCTTGTTATTAACCCTTCAATGGAATAAACAACTCCTGAATATCTGTCTACCTCTGGCCACAAGTGGAAGCAATCATCCTTCAGGCATGACCATGGGAACTGACCCTAAAGACGAATGTACGCCCCAGAGGCCATCCTCAGGAGCAAGATTTCATTGAATGGCAGAACAGGCTCGAGGGGCTGAAGGGCCTACTCCTGTTCTCATATTCCCAAAATCAAAAGGAAATATTCCCATTCTTAAACCGGCAATTCTGGGATGAGCATCAGCACCCCCAGCTGAATCTGCTCGTCCACTGGTGGGGGGAGTTGGGTGCTTGCTGGTTTGCGTAGCTGGCCTGTTCACATGGCCAAAGGGAGAGTTACATTTATGTAGCGCCGTCCACAACCTCAAAATGCCCTACAGCCAGCAGAGTGTAGTCACTGATGTAACGACGGAAATGTGGCAGCGAATCAGTACATAGCAAGCTCCCACGGTGGAGTAAAGACCAGATTCAGAACAACGTAAGCAGACAGCACAGAAGCTGAACTGAAACATTGGGTAGACATCTCAAAGCACTGAATTATGAAACACTGTAAAAAAGGTTTCAGCACATTTAGAAACTGACAACATCTCCAGACTGTTTCAATTCGCCTCAAAGCAATCAAGTATAGAACGCTGCTCTGAGGTAACTGAGAGTACAATAATTGGGCAGTAGAGTCATGAAGGGGAAACTTTCTGATGAAATCCTGTTCCTCTGGTCAATATTTTCCTAATCATTCTGTTCAGAGATTGTATGACATTTGTAAACTGGATTGCCTGGCTCGGAAGAAGGGATACTACCACTGGTCACAAGAGCCGTAACTGTTTCTCCAGCACCTCACACTGAGAACAGATAAGCTTCTCCTGTCAACATAGATGCTGAAACTCAAATGATGTTTCTTTAGCCCTTTTACATCTCAACATGATTCTGTCCTCAGCTGATGTCGTACGTGTGTCAACTTCCTGTTGGCTCATATGGATAGTGATCAGAAGCAGGTCTCTGGGCAATTATCCCTTCCCTAAGTTCTTGTATCATAAGTTAGCAGGAGCAAATTGGCCATACAACCTCTCAACCTTGGCAGGGGAAAATTAGTCAGCATTCCTGTTTCAGAATGCTTTCCAACTGGATGAGGAAACGGTTCTGATACTTTTTGTCAAATAACCTAATCCAACTTCATTCCACGAAGTTCATTTCACACGCAAACTGTAGGAGGTTGAGAGGCAACCTTTTAGAAGTTTATAAAGTAATGATGGGTATAGATAGAGTTAATGGTAGTTGTCTTTTCCCTGAAATGAACACCCACTTCATCACACAGGCTCACACACGGCAGGAACTAGGCCTCAACTGAATGTCAATGCCCATGATCCCAAAACATTAACTTATAACCCACCCCCCCATTAGCTTCTTCTGGGGTGGGAATGGGGTCAATGTCATGACCCACAATTTGGGAATGGTTGCACTAGTTTGATTTTTTTTCGAACTGGCGTTGTGGAACTTTTCTGTGACCAGGAATGTAGTTCATTTTTTCTGTATAACAACTATCACTGCTCTTCAGTACAACCACTTTATGCTGGAAGCATCTGGGGAATTACAAAGTGTCAGGATAAAGGGCCATACAAATGCAGGAATCTTTGTTCCCTTTTACTTGTGTGCAACTAAGTTAAGAAATGCTTGCATTCAATGACAACTGTATGACTCAAGAGGCTTTACATTCCATTAAATACTTTAAGATGTGTTAACCACTGCTGTGGGCAAATGCAGTGGCCAACTTGTGCACAGCAAGCACCCACAAACAGCTCTGCTAGGATACCCAGGTTTTGTGATGTTGATTAAGGGATATAGAATCATAGAGATGTACAACACTGAAACAGACCCTTCAGTCCAACTTGTCCATGCTGACCAGATATCCCAAATTAATCCAGTCCCATTTGCCAGCATTTGGTCCATATCCCTCTAAACCCTTCCTATTCACGTACCCATCCAGATGCCTTTTAAATGTTGTAATTGTACCAGCCCCCATCACTTCCTCTGGCAGCTCATTCCATACACGCACCACCCTCTGTGTGAAAGAGTTGCCCCTTAGGTCCCTTTTAAATCTTTTCCCTGCCACCTTAAACCTATGCCTTCTAGTTTTGGACTCCCCTACTCTGGGGAAAAGACTATGGCTATTCACTCTATCCATGCCCCTCATGATTTTATAAACATTGATAAGGTCACCCGTCAGCCCCTGACACTCCAGGGAAAATAGCCCCAGTCTATTCAGCCTCTCCCTGTAGCTCAAACCCTCCAAGCCTGGCAACATCCTTGTAAACCTTTTCTGATGTTTTGGGCAGGGGACTGAGGACAGCTCCACTGTTGCATCCATCCCAGCTGGGCTTGAGCCCACAGCTACTTGGGGACAAATCTGCAAACAGCCTTTCCTTGGCACAATGCCAGGAACACACATTGTACAAAGAACACCATCCCCTTCTGTGGTTTTCTGAACATTGACTTTAATGACTGGAAGCTGTGGGGTTAACCATGGCAACAAGCAGTGAAACCTTTAACCCTCAGTTACTACATTCACCTAACACAATGAAACACAGCATTGGTTGCACTTCATCTTCCTGTGGAAGTGGGGGGTCAAAATATTTAACAGGCACAAATTCTAGTCAGATATATCCTTGTTCATTCACTCACCTCTCCCCTCCTGTCTTAAAGACATTGAATCCTTACTGGGCTACAAATCAAACCAGCAAGAAGACAGTTTCTTACAAATGGAAAGTGGGAACTGAGTATAAGCAAGAGAGGAGGTATCTCATTGTGAATCAATTTGGATTAATTGGTGTCCCAAATGTGGGTTCCACGCTCCCCCAAGTGGAGATGCAGCCCATGTGCGGTGAATTACACAAGAACAGAAAGGAGAGAAACTATACTGCCACGGCTACTGCTTAGAATTAGTACAGTGTGGAAGCAAGCCATTTGACCCATTGAGTTCACACCGCCCTCCAAAGAGTATCCTACCCAGACCCACCCTATCCCTGCATTTCCCATAGTTAATCCACCTACCCTGCACATCCCTGGATACCATAGGCAATTTAGCATGGCCAATCCACCTAACCTACACTTGGTGCTGGGATAACCTCAGATGGTTTGACTGCCATGTAGATCTGATTAGATACAACACTATCGAGTTTAATCTCCCTTTCCGCTAGGGTAGATGTGGGACTTCTATCCTCACCTTCCCCTAAACTGAGATTCCGTGAGACTCCAATCATCAATAATGCTACTGGGAGAAGTCTTAAATATACTCAGCGACCAAGTTCCCACGGCCGTCTGGGGTGGAGAACTCCAAACGTTCAGAGCCCTCCGAGTGAACAAATTTCTCCTAATTTCAGTCCAAAACTGATGTTCCCTAATCCTGAGACCATGTGCTCTAATTCCAGACTCTACAATCGGGGAAAACAGCCTCAGCCAATGTTAGGGAAGGAGTTCCAGGATTTTGAACCTGTGAAACTGAAGGAACGGTGATATATTTCCAAGTCAGGGTGATGAGTGGCTTAAAGGTGAACCTGATCCCATGTATCTGCTGCCCTTGTCCTTCGAGATGGTAGTGATTGTGGGTTCGGAACGTGCACTCTAAGAACTCTACGATGGGTAGATGCCAGTTTTGTAGCTACATAGGAGGAGCTTGGCTGGGGGAGTAGCTAGTTCTTGAGTACAAGTGTTCAATACTACTGTATTGCCAGAATGTCGTCAGGTCCCATACTCCTACTCTGTATCTAATGCCTTCAGCCATTTCTTGGTATCACGTGGAGTGACTCGATGTGGTTAAAGCTTGGCTTGATACAAAACATTGACTTGCTCAGCCATTTCAGGGGCCGGATAAGTGTTAATATGTGTTACAGCTCTATTATCCATAAAATGGCTTTGCTCAGACAGAAAGCAGTTAGACAATTATGATAGAATATCTAATACTAGCAGGTCAATACCTGTCTGACGTGGCTTAACAGGGGATCATATGAAGGAAATTGTAATCCTTGATGTTTACTCTCTGCCATTAATGCTGTATTGTGACCAGCATTGTGAAAATACTGAGCTTCCTGTTTATTGACAAGCAATTAAGCAGCACCTTAATCTAGCAGGGGAGTAGCACACAGAGACAAAAAAAGAACTTGAATTTATATAGCACCTTGAAACAGCCTCAAAACATATAAGTGCATGCTCTATCTTTCTCTTCCTCACCAACATTTATTTCTGCCTCTTCAGTGAGAGGAGTTGTGTGTGTTTTCCAAATAGAATCATAGAATCACGACAGTGTGGAAACAGGCTCTTCGGCCCGACAAGTCCACACTGACCCTCAGAGCATCCCACCCGCAGCCATCCCCCTAATCTACACATCCCTTCACACCATAGGCAATTTAGCGTGGCTGATCCACCTAGCCTGCGCATCTTTGGACTGTGGGAGGAAACTGGAGCACCCGGAGGATAAGAGCACCACGCAGACACAGGGAGAATGTGCAAACTCCACACAGACAGTCGCCCGAGGGTGGAATCGAACCTGGGTCCCTGACACTATGAAGCAGCAGGTAGTGACTAAAGCTCTTTCTTCACAGATGCTGCCAGACCTGCTGAGCTTTTCCAGCAACTTCTGTTTGTGTTCCTGATTTACAACATCCACAGTTCTTTCAGCTTTTGTTTGGGATGATGTCCCCTGATTCTAGACCCAACTCCTACCAGGACGAATTGTCTTATCTACAGTCACCCTGTCACACTCTGTAATTATTTTGTAAGTTTCAACAAGATCTCCTGTCATTCTTCAAACCTCTGGAGTTGACAGAGCCAGCTCCTCAATGAGGCATCATCGGCATCGGGACACATTAGTCCAGATCATAGAATCCCTCCAGTGCGGAGAGCAGGCCATTCAGCCCATTGAGCCCACATCCACTCTCCCAGGAGTATCCCACACAGACCCACGATCTACCCAATTCCTGCATTTCCCACCCTAGACATGGCCAATCCACCTAACCCACGCATCTTTGGACTGTGGGAGGAAACCGGAGCACCTGGAGGAATATCACACAGACACGGGGAGAATGTGCAAACTCCATGCGGTCGCCCAAGGGTGGAATCAAACCTGGGTCCCTGGCGTTGTGAGGCAGCAGTGCTAACCACTGAGCCACCGTGACACCTCCATGATCTTCCAATGGCCAGAGAAAACAATGCAGATTGGAGGTGTACGTTATGAATTCCCGATGCTGCTGACTCTGCATGGATTGCTCGGGAGATTGAATTTTCTGATGGGTAATTCCCCTGTATCTGCAAACCTGAGAAAGAATCCTTTAAAGTTGGGAACTTCAGTGTGTCCTGATTCACTTAAGTCTAACAGTTACCCAGGAAGAAAGCTACTGTAACACATGGGTAACTATTAAACAGAACCTTTGATTCACCTCTCAACACCCCAAATACACATTCCCCAACCCAACATCCCTGACGCAGCACACCACCCCCTCTCCAAACTTAACGACCCCCATTCCCACCTCCCCCCAGGCCAGTGTGATACTCCTGTTCCCACCTTGGTGCACAAGGGATCCAACTGGAACATGCTCAACCCAAAATCTCCCCTTCCTCCCCCCAGGAGCCTACTCCCAGCTTACCCACCTGGCATCTTATCCCACCTCACACAACTGGAATTCTACCCCACCTCACCTACCTAGTCCCCTCCCCTCACCTCACCCACCTGACATCTTACCTCACCTCACCCACCTGGCACACTACCCCTCACTTACCAATTACACTTATCTTCTCTCAGTCACTGCCAAAGTGACTTTGGGTTTTCTATCTCCTGTAATTCAGCAGCAAGTGTGGGTAAAATAAAAGGAGGGCTCGTGACTTCACTTGCAACGCTGCTCACGTCCCGTGTGAACTTCTCCCTCCTTTTCTCTGATCGATGGCATCTGGGACAGTCAGGACTTGGAACGTTAGCCAGAAAAATCGGCAACGGGGGAAGTGGGTAATTATAAAGTGGATGACATATCAGGGGGATCTGTTCAAACATTAATCAGAATACTCGGACCTTTGAAATTGAGCCAGCTTGCACAACCCAGCACTATGGCACATTAGGTCATAGAGTAATACAGCTTGGAAACAGTCCCTTCAGTCCAACTCATCCATGCTGACCAGATATCCTAAACTGAACCAGTCCCATTTGCCAGCATTTGGCCCATATCCCTCTAAATCCTTCCTATTCATATACCCATCCAGAGGCTTTTTAAATGTAACTGTACTAGCCTCTACCACTTCCTCTAGCAAACCGTGCCACACACGTACCACCCTCTGTGTAAAAAAAGTTAACCCTCAGGTCCTTTTTAAATCTTTCCCCTCTCACCTTGAACCTATGCCCTCTAGTTTTGGACTCTCCTACCCTGGGGAAAAGACCTTGGATATTCACCCTATCCATGCCCCTTGTACTTTTATAAACTCTTATAAAGTCATCCCTCAGTCTCCGACGCTCCAGGGAAAATAGCCCCAGTCTATTCAGCCTCTCCCTATAGCACATACCCTCCAATCCCAGCAACGTCCTTGTAAATCTTTTCTGAACTCTTTCAAGTTCAACAGCATCTTTCCCTATAGCAAGGAGACTAGAATTAGATGCAGTATTCCAAAAAGGTACCTCACCAATGTCCTGTACAGCTGCAACATGACCTCTCAACTCGTTTACTCAATGCACTGACCAATAAAGGCAAGCGTACCAAACACCTTCTACACCACCCTCTCTGCAATGCGACTCCACTTTCAAGGAACTACGCACCTGCATCCCTAGGTGTCTTTGTTCGGCAACACGCCCCAGGACCCTACCATTAAGTGTATACATCCTGCCCTAGTTTGACTCACCAAAATGCAACACCTCACACTTATCTAAATTGGACTCTATCCGCCACTCCTTGGCTCATTGACCCATACACCGAATGCCATGTGATTACCACACAATTGTTATCTATTATTCATTAACAATTATTGTGATATCAGAACTTTATAATACTGCCTCTCCTTTACCATGAAGGTGTTTCTGAAGGTAGGGTTCTAATTGATTGTAGCAATATAGACAATGCCCAGAGTATGAAGATCTGTAACAATGGAAACAAAGAAATATTCACTGATCAATGATTTTGCCTTGCTTCTGATTTCCTTGATCAATGACAGCAATTTAGGATCAAAATGTGCTGTTGTGAACAAAGCAGCCCTGTAGAATGGGGAGGTGCTGCAGGTGGAGGCCATTCAACCCCTCTGGTTCATTCTGCCAGCAGCGCGATCATTACTCCTCCACATTTTAACTCCATTTACCTGCCTTGACCTGGTCACTTACACCAAACAAAATCTATCACCCTTTTGAACTTTTCAATCAACACCTCCCCGCCCACCCCAAATCTGCTCACCCACTCCCAGCTTCAATTAGTTTCAGGGGATAAAGTTCCCAATTTCTACTCTCCTCTTGTGTGACAAAATGTTTCCAAACACGGCTCAGGAATAAGCTGGTTCTAAATTTAAGCCGGTTCTTCTGGGATCCTCTGCCAGAGGAGATAGCACCTCTCTATTTGAGATTATTAAGCATCGTAAATGCTTAAAGCTTATAGCTTAGTTGGGAAAGTCTTCTATTGAAGATCTAAGCATCCCTGGTTTAATCCCAGATTTCAGTGGTGAATTCCTTGGGTGTAGTGCTCTTGCAGTGTCGTGTTTGTTCCCCTACCTCTGGACCAGGTAATCTAGGTTCAAGT